CCGGGCCCTGGCATCCTGTAGATGAGGAAGAATGGTGGTTGGACCTGCATGGGCATTCTCAGTCAGAGACGTGTTTAATTCTCACAGTGGGGAGGGGAGGGAGCTCCTGGCATATGGTGAGTAGAGGCCAGGGAAGATGCTTAACATCTGCAATGCAGTCTGTACACCTGAAGGCTTAACATCACGTAGAGGCCACCAAGTCTTATGGCTTGCACCCTCTGAAGCAATGGCCCAAGTTGTACCTGGGCTTCTTTGAGCCACAGCTGAAAATCCATATTTGTTAAACAACAACTCCTCCCTTTCCTTCCTATCTTTCTCTCTCTCCTGCAGCCCCAGAAACCACCAATTTTACTTTCTTTCCCTATGAATTTGACTACTCTAGATACGTCATATAAGTGAAATCATACAGTATCTCTCACCTTGTGATTAGTTGATTGACTTAACATATATCCTCAATGTTCACCCATGTTGTAAGGTGTCGCAGGATATCCTTCTTTTTAAAGGGTAATTAATACTCCATTGTCTGTATATTCACCGCCTGTTCTTTTTTAAAAATATATATATTTTATTGTACTTTAGGTTCTGTGATACATGTGCAAAACATGCAGGATTGTTGCATAGGTATATATATGGCAATGTGGTTTGCTGCCTCCATCCCCCCGTCACCTATATCTGGCATTTCTCCCCATGTTATCCCTTCCCAACCTCCCTACACCCCCGCTGTCCCTCCCCTATTCCCCACAACAGACCTCAGGGTGTGATGCTCCCCTCCTTGTGTTCATGTATTGTCACTGTTCAACACCCACCTATGAGTGAGAACATGCGGTGTTTGATTTTCTGTTCTTGTGTCAGTTTGCTGAGAATGATGGTTTCCGGACATGAACTCATTGTTTTTTATGGCTGCGTAGTATTCCATGGTGTATATGTGCCACATTTTCCTTGTCCAGTCTATCATTGATGGGCATTTGGCTTGGTTCCAGGTCTTTGCTATTATAAACAGTGCCACAATGAACACACATGTGAATGTGTCTTTATAATCCTTTGGATTATAAATCATTGTATTATAAACCAGTAATGGGATTGCTGGGTCAAATGGAATTTCTATTTCTAGGTCCTTGAGGAATCACCACACTGTTTTCCACAATGGTTGAACTAATTTACACTCCCACTAACAGCGTAAAAGTGTTCCTATTTCTCCACATCATCTCCAGCATCTGTTGTCTCCAGATTTTTTAACGATTGCCATTCTAACTGGTGTGATATGGTATCTTAATGCAGTTTTGATTTGCATTTCTCTAATGATCAGGAATGATGAGCATTTTTTCATATGTTTGCTGGCCTCATAAATGTCTTCTTTTGAAAAGTGTCTATTCATGTCCTTCACCCACTTTTGAATGTTTTTTTTTTTTCTTGTAAATCTGTTTTAGTTCTTTGTAGATTCTGGATATTAGCCCTTTGTCAGATGGGTAGATTGCAAAAATTTTTTCCCATTCTGTTGGTTGCTGATTCACTCTAATGATTGTTTCTTTTGCTGTACAGAAGCTCTGGAGTTTAATTAGATCCCATATGTCTATTTTGACTTTTGTTGCCAATGCTTTTGGTGTTTTAGTCATGAAGTCTTTCCTAGCCTATGCCTATGTCCTGAAAGGTTTTGCCTAGGTTTTCTTCTAGGATTTTTATGGTGTTAGGCCTTATGTTTAAGTCTTTAATCCATCTGGACTTAATTTTAGTGTAAGGTGTCAGAAAGGGGTTCAGTTTCTGCTTTCTGCACATGACTAGCCAGTTTTCCAACACCATTTATTAAACAGCGAATCCTTTCCCCATTGCTTGTTTTTGTCAGGATTGTCAAAGATCAGATGGTGTGGCATTGCCTCTGAGACCTCTGTTCTGTTCCATTGGTCTTTATCTCTGTTTTGGTACCAGTACCATGCTGTTCTGATTACTGTAGCCTTGTAGTATAGTTTGAAGTCAGGTAGTGTGATGCCTCCAACTTTGTTCTTTTTGCTTAGAATTGTCTTGGCTATGTGGGCTCTTTTTTGGTTCCATATGAAGTTTAAGGTGGTTTTTACCAGTTCTGTGAAGAGGGTCATAGGTAGCTTGATGGGGATAGTGTTGAATCTATAAATTACTTTGGTCAGTATGGCCATTTTTTATTCTCCTAACCATGAGCATGGAAAGTTTTTCCATCTGTTTGTGTCCTTTCTTATTTCCTTGAGCAGTTGTTTGTAGTTCTCCTTGAAGAGGTCCTTTACATCCTTTGTTAGTTGTATTCCTAGGTATTTTATTCTCTTTGTAGCAATTGTGAATGGCAGTTCGTTCTTGATTTGGCTCTCTTTAAGTCTGTTATCAGTGTATAGGAATGCTTGTGATTTCTGCACATTGATTTTGTATCCTGAGACTTTGCTGAAGTTGCTTATAAGTGAGCCACTGCACTCCAGTCTGGGTGACAGAGCAAGACTCTTTCTCAAAAAAAAAAAAAGAGAAAGAGAGATACGGGGCGGGGGGAAGGAGACGTTTAGATAGAATAGGTTGCATTTTGTGTGAATTTGGACAAGAATGTGTGGGTTTGAAGTACACTATTGGATCAAGGACTATAGTCAGGAGAGGGGAGTAGGCTGGGTGTAAATTTGGAAGTCATCAGTCTATTGATGGCGTGAAGTCTACAGAGTGGATAAGGTCATAAAACAAAAGTAAAGAAGGAGAGCTCAGGGCAGCTCTGATATTTAGGGTCAGGGAGATGTGGCGCATCTGGTGAAAGGGCTGCCAAGAAGGTGAATGGACCCAGAAAGAACAACGTTCTGTAGTCGAGTCAAGAAGTGCTTCTGTGTAGGGAGGGTGAGCAGTTAGGTCCTCTGCTGCTGCAAAGTCCAGGAAGGAGAAGACTGCAAGGTGGACGTCTGGACTCAGCCAAGTGGAGGTCGCGGTGACCTTGATAATAGCAGTGCTGAGATGTGGTGTGTGTGTGTGTGTGTTTGACAGTTCCATGGAGCATCTGCAGTGCAGGGGAGCAGCAGGGAAGGGCAGAGATGAAGGAGGAGCCTCCCAGGCAGCCTCTGTCGCTCTCCGCTGTGTGAGTCTGTATTAGTTTCCTGTGGCTGCTGTGACAAATGACCACACATTTCTTGGCTTCAAACAACATACATAGATTAACTTAAAGTTTTGACAGTCAAAAGCCCAAAATGGGTGTCACTGGGCTAAAATCGAGGCATTGGCCATCAGGGTCAGTTCCTTCTGGAAGATCCAGGGGGTGGTACACTTTCTCACCTTTTCCAGCTTCTTGAGGTGCCTGCATTCCTTGGCTCAATCCCTCCCTCTGTCTGCAAAGCAAGCAGCCTGGCATCTTCCAATCTTTCTATTATACCCTCTTCCTTTCACTTGTAAGGATCCCTGTGATTCCACTGGACCCACCCAAGTAATCCAAGAGAATCTCCCCATCTCAATATCCTTAACCAAATTCCACCTGTAAAATCCCTTTAGACATGTCAGGTAACAGAGCCACAGGTTCCAGGGGGTTGAGGCATGGACATTTCGGAGGGGCCATTATTCTTCCTGTGACAGGGATACAATTTCTTTGACTGACTTGTCTTCCCCACACCACCAAACTGAGAGCTTCCCAAGGGCAGGGGCCACGTCTGTATCAAGGCCCTGTAGTTCTCTCTCACTTGCCCTCTTTCTGCTTATCTTATCATAATTCACACATAGATATGACAGTCATTTATTGCTACCTCCTTCAATTAAAGAGTGAGCTGCAGGAGGCCAGCGCCCACGTCTTCCGTGTCCGCCATGGTCCATCTAAAACCGCCTCAGGGCCTCACACACAGTGGGCCTCAACAGGAGGCCAGGCTTTGGGCTCAGAAGGAACCGACTGCATTGGGTCCTGGTGTAAGAGGGAGTTTGTGCAGAGCACTTACCATTTCTACCTCAGTTTTCAAATTTGTAAAATGGAAACAGTAATAATATCTTACTATGGGCTGGGTGCGGAGGCTCACACCTATAATCCCAGCACTTTGAGAGGCTGAGGTAGGCAGATCACGAGGTCAGGAGATTGAGACCATCCTGGCTAACATGGTGAAACCCAGTCTCTACTAAAAACACAAAAAATTAGCCAGGTATGGTGGCACGTGCCTGTAGTCTCTCCTGCTCAGGAGGCTGAGGCAGGAGAATCGCTTGAACCTGGGAGACGGTGAGCTGAGATAGCACCACTGCACTCCAGCCTGGGCAAGAGAGCGAGACTCCATCTCAAAAAAGAAAAAAAAAATCTTATTATGGAGTTGTTGTTGGAAGTTAATCAGATTAGTAAACACCAAATAAGGTGATAATTGAGTACTAAATATTAGAGGAAGGTATGAAAGAGATTTCAGCAAACTGTACATGGGTTGGATGGAGGAAGGAACTCCTGGGTCTCTTTCCTGGACTCTGGCACCTGCTGGCCCCATTGCTCTACTCTGACTCCCTTCTCTCTCTCCATTCAGTGACCCAGATTGAATCCCAGGCAGATGACAGCCCCCCACACCAGGCTCCCTCAGCCCTGGCCGCCCCCTCCTCAGAGGCAGGAGAGATCCCCTATGCATCCCTCAGTTTCCATAATGTGAGGCCCTCAGTACCCACAGAGACAGGAGGCCGCTGGCAATGAGTACTTGGAGATCAAGACCCTTTAAAGTGAGAAACTGCAGAAACTCAGGCCAGTTTGAGGATTCACAACCCCTCCAGCAAAGGAGTCCTGGGCTGATTCCTGTAGAATTAACAGCCCTCCATGCTGTGCAACAGGACATCAGAGCTTCTTCCTCCTGTCTGATTGAAAATGCTTGCCTGATGGCCAACCTCTCCCTTTCCCCATCCAATCAATCACTCCCCGCCCCAGCCTCTGGTGCCCACCATTCTCTTCTCTACTTCGCTGAGGTCGACTATTTTAGGTTCCAAATATAGTGTGATTGTAGGGTATTTGTGTTTCTCTGTTCCTGGCTTATTTCACTCAACATAACAACGTCTAGGTTCATCCATGTTGTTCCAAATAACAGAATAATGTATTTGGATTAACTGAATATTTCAAAATAGCTAAAAGAGAGGAGTTTAAATGTCACCAAAGAAAAGTGAATATTTAAGCCGACAGATGTGCTCATCACGCCGACTTAACGGTTCCACGGTGCCTCCAGATGGAGAAACCTCACTGGGGCTGCGTTCAGGTTACTCAGCTACTCAGGGCAGAGCTGGAATTTAATCCCTGCCTGGTTCCAAGGTCTCTTCTCTCACCCGGCACTCAATGAAGCAACCACTGAGTGGGGACTCCTTGGCCTTAAGTTTGCAGCAGGCTGTTGATTCTGTGGGTCAATATCTGAAAAGCTGGAAGCACAGGAGCTGAGGGAGGAAGGGAGGAAGTGCGTGGAATTAGAGCCCAGCTTTGCGCATGGCCCGCCCCGGCCTGCACCCCATTGGCCAGCTCTGATTGGCAGATGGAGCGCCCAATGGTCACATTGTTCATGACGTCTTCCCCCAGTCCCAGGCCGGGTCTGTAGATGTCCCACCAGAGCATCCATCTCCAGACCTTGGTGTGACTTGGCTGAGTCCCTCTCTTGTCAGTCACCTCCAAAGAGACCCTGGGCCCTTTCCAGCCTTGCTGACCCTATGGGGACCCCCAGCTCTTCTCCATCACCCTCTCCTCACCTGTTTGCCCGCTGGTCTTGTCCTCAGGCCTGAGGGGGACACTCAAGTGGCCCGATTTGTCCTATGGGGAGAAATCAGGGAAGAAGTCACATCTCAGATCTCTAAGAAACACGGGAGAATCCTGGGTGTAGAGAGGTGAAGGGGCCCAGCTCCCCACCAAGACCCCGCCCAAACCCAATCCCTCCCCACGTGGGACCCTGTGGAGGAGATGGTCTGAGGGCTTCACCTCTGCACTGAGAGTTCTCAACAACCCATACTTCTAAAGATTTCCAAGGGCACTGGAGGAAGGTACCATTGTTTGGGGAAAAGAGGCCGGGTGAAGCTGAGGAAGGAGAGGGCACTGCTGGTCTAATTACCAGCGGTAACAATGACGATGAAGGTAGTAATAGTAATTTATTTCACACTGATTCTATGCCAGGCACTTGTAGCTTATGACAGGGTTACCTTTAGCCCTCCCAACAGCCAAGCAAGACAGATACATTGACCCCACTTTTAGATGAAGACATGAGGGTCCAGAAAGGTAAAGTTACTTGCCCCAGGTCACACAGCCAGAACAGAACAGAGGCGAATATTCCAAACCTGGCTTCTCTGACTCCCAGACCCCTGCTCTCATATCAGATTGGAGGTCTCAGACCATAGAGACCATGGCGCCCTTGAGAGGAATGGTACAGTGACCTGGTGTAGGTTTTTTGGCTGTCAGGAGGTTGCTCTGCCAGGCCAGGGGGATCCTTCCAGGTGGTGGAAGATGAGGTGATTCAGATACGCTCTTTGAAACCCTCTTGAACTTTCTTGAGCTTATCACAATCAGTTTGGAATTGCACATTGAATAATATGATGGCATTAATAATAATATCTGAGATTTTATGAAGTAGTTACTGTGTACCAACCCTTGTTCCAAGGCATTTAGCAGAAGAGCTTACTTTATCCCCATAGGAGATATCCCTGTGAGGTTGAAACCAGTATTAATCCCATTTTGCACACGGGAAGTAAAGCACACACAGGCTTGAATGCCTGCTATCTCACTGTATGGTCAACATTATAGACTGTTTCGTGAAGGGACCATGTAATAATCATAAGTAGGCTCAATATCTAAATACTAAGATAATTTAACATGTATCTTCTAAAGTCTTTAGATACCATGTTAGTGAAAACCCGTACATGGAGGCTGTGTGTCTCCTCTGCTCCACCTTGCCCCACCATTTATTCTAGGAAATGCCACTTCTGTGTCTTTTGGGTGGTATCCAGATCCAGTCACGGTTAAAATCTGAGTAACTGCAGGATGATCTTTGGGGGAGGGAGAAGGGGAGCAGGTGTGACTGCTGAAGGGAGGGGGCTAGATCATGGCAGCCGTAACATTACTGGGAGCAGGGAGAGCAGCTTGTTCATCTTTTGCTCATCAGAGGCCTAAGAATAAACCCAGGAGCTTGGTGAAATATGGGGCGACTGAGAAACCAAATGAGGAACAAATGAATGAAACCTTGGAGGTCTCTATCAATGGCTTTGGACACCAGGATAGAAACCCCTGGAAACTTTTCGTCTGAAGAAATTCGAGTGGAAGCAGGATCATTATGCACAGAGGCACTAAAGCCCACTATACTTTTAGGACCCACAAAAATGTTTCAGTTTCTTCTAAAATCAGAAGAAAAAGCTAAATAAAAAGCCGCCCTGTAATTTATACATTATAATTTATATCAACAGAGAGGTAAAATATAGTTTTTAATATTTTTATGGGGGAGGGGCCCACAAAAGCAAATGGAGTCCATTTACGGGAACAAGGAGGGAGCCCGGAGGCCTGTCCACACGAGTTCCCTGCCCCACTCCAAACCCTGGCACCTTCCGTAGCCCTTCTGAAAAATGTGGTTCCAGGTCGAGGAGGGTCCCGCCCCCAGGGAGGATTTGCTCTAAGGCAGGTGCCCACTCCTGCTCAGCTGAATTCTCTGAGACCTTGTATCTTGAGACCTCCCTTGAAGACTGGCCAACAGCCCTGCATTTCTAAGACTTTGCTGACCTCCCAGGCTCCTGTTTCTGCCATTGACCTGAACCTCCCCCAGGTCATGGCCACTCTCTCAGTCTGCTTTTGCAATCCCCTTTTCTCTGCTGTTCCCTGAATATGAGAATTCTCTTTCCTCTTTGAACTCTGTTCTCTTGCCATGCAGTGGAGTTCCTGGGGTTGCCTTCCATGTGATCTTTGTAGTGTCTAGAGACATTTTTAGTTTTCTGAACTGGGGTGTTGGTGGTAGTTACTACTACCGTCTAACTGGTAAAGGCCGGGATGCTGCTAAATGTCCTACAAGGCACAGAACAGCCTTACTGCCTCCCCTTCCTCATCAAAGAATGATGGTCCCAATGTTAATAGTGCTGAAGTTGAGAAACTCTGGTCTACCCTATGCTGAGAACACTGCAAGTCCCCTTATCCTCCAAGATGTGTCTCTAACCCCCACATCACCCTTCAGGCAGGAGTTGCTCCTTGCATTCTTCAGGTGGGCTGAGGATGAGCTAAGAGGAGAAGTGACCTACCCAAGGTAACCTAGCCTACAGGTAGCAGAGCTAGGGTTTGAACCCAGACCCTTACCATCCCACCACTCAATCTCTTCTCCCTGCATAGTTGACGGCTGATACCTATTTCCCCAACTTCACTTTGTAGCAAGGGACATCTGTGTCCTAGGAATTGACATGCACACTTCTCATTTTCTAACCTGTCCCTCTAATAAACCTTAATATCCATTTGTAAACACAAAGAAACTTCTAAAGAGAAGGGACATTGCTGGATGAAACCCCACAGCTGTTTAGAAGCGTGGCTGGCTCTAAACCTTACCTTGCTCCCATCAGCTTTAGGTCCTGGAAGCTGAGCTATCTGCCCCAGATGATCCCTGACAACCCAGTTCCAGGCTTATCCCTTCCCCTCTGGCTCTGCCTCCCTGTCTGGAGGGAAGGCTGGCCCCTGAGGCCCAACACCCAACCAACACCCCACCCTTGACCCAGAGCAATGAGGGAACCTGTTTGAGTAGCAGTTGATCAGAGCATGGATTAGGACTCCACAGAGGTAGACGCCAGCCGCCACTGTCCACCCGATGAGGAGCACCACTATGGGTTCCGAGATGGAGAACACTGTAGGTAAGATCCCTGGAGGAAGAGGACACCGGGGGTCAGGACCACGACTCACCCGTTCATGTGTTCACTCATCTCTTCACTCAACCACACATCTGTTCTTCAAAGATTTGTCAACATCTATTACCAACAAAGCACTCTTCCCGGTACCAGGGATTCAGCAGCCAACAAAACAAACTCCCTGCACCCATGGGGCTGACATTCGAGCTGGGAAGTGGACAGAGGACAATGAAGCAAAGAGAGGTCTCAACTGCAGGCAGCCATAAGTGAATAGAGAAGAATAAACCCTCGTAAGGAGAGAGACAGTGACTGGAAGGGGGTGACACAGGGTCATTAACTCATTACACAAATGTTCACTGAGCAGCAACTATATGCTAGGCACTGTGCCAAGCGCTGAGGACAAATGGCAAACAAAAATCTCACCCAGCTTCTGCCCTCCTGGAGCTCGGAGTCCAGGGGAAGAGAAAAACGTGAACAGATGACTTGGAGGGCTGAATGCACACATTGTGTCTGGTGCATAGCGGGTGCTTAGGAAGTCGTGCGATGTGGCTGAAGTCTGCAGACCACATCCTGCAACATCTCCTGGACTTTCTTGCACAGTTTTATTTTACTCTTACGGCACCCTTTTCATGCAGGGATTCTTATCCTTTCATTACAGTTGAGGAAACTGAGTGTCACAATGATGGAGCTGTTTGTCCCGGGTTCCTGGAGATGGGCAGCAGCAGAGTGGGGATCTGGACCCAGAACCTTGTGCTGCAGAGTCCGGCATTCACCTGCCCCACTCCTCTGCTCTCTCCCTGAGCACGTCAATCTCTCTCCCTGATGCAGAGGATTTGCTGAGAAGATGCTTTCCCCATTTACAAACTCACTCCCAAGCCAAGTTTCTGACGCCATGGCCATGCCAAATCTCTACTCCCCTCCACCCATCCCATCCCTGCATCTTTTTAATTCCTCATCTTGGAGCAGCTGAGGGGAGCAGTTGAGGGCATAGGCTGTGGGTTCAGCCCGCCTGAACTTGAATGCCACTCTTCCATGGGTTATGGAGCGATGAAGCCTTGAATAAAACACTCAGACTCCATGGGGCTCAGTTTTCTCCCCTGTAAAATGGAGGTGATGCTAATCACATGCACTTAGTCCATGGAGAGCTGGTGAAGGTCACGCAGGTTAGAACAAAGGCAGCACATAGTAAGTGCTCAGCCAATGTCTATAAGCTACTCTTATCCCCCTGGGAGCCACCCTGGCTCTGATCTGAGGACTCCAGAGGATTCACAGAGGAGGCAGCTTTGAACCCAGACTTCAAAGGATGGGGAGATTTCACCCAGAAGTTGTGAGCATGGTATGGCAGGGTGGAGGTGACACTCCTGAGGGTGGGCACTGCCTAGCAGGGCATGGAGGCAGGGAGATGTACAGAGCATGAGCCGAGAGGGGGAGCTGCTGCACTCACGGGGGGCCTGGATCCTGATGTCCACATAGAAGGTCAGCTGTGTCGCAGGGTTCTCCACGATGCATCGGTAACTGCCCAGCTGCTCCCAGGCCAGACTTGAGAGATTCACCGTTGCATCTGAGACGTTCAGGAGGGAGCCGTTGTGGATCCAGCGGTACATGAGAGCCGGCAAAGAATAGGCGACACACTCCATTTCCACATGGGAGCCGATCTCAGCTTTCATGATGCCATTAAAGGCATATGGATTGCTCCTCAGCTGCACATAGTCGGGCCCATCTGTAGAGACAGGGCAGGAGGCCCAGGGCTGTGGTTCTGACGTTTCGGGGGTCCCGTCTCATGAAGAACTTCCCCAGCTGGGGGGTTCCCCACAGCACACCTCAAGCTGACCCCTAGACCCACGCCAGGCAAGGCAGTTGTGTCAACAATAATAACCAGAGGAGCGTCTTCCATAATGAAGGGACTACTAGGGGCCACCCCACGGTTCCCTTCACATTGTAAGAAAACTGGTGGAGTAAGGCTGGGTGCAGTGGCTCACTTCTGTAATCCCAGCACTTTGGGAGGCCGAGGCGGGTGGATCACCTGAGGTCAGGAGTTCAAGACCAGCCTGACCAACTTGGAGAAACCCCATCTCTACTAAAAATGCAAAATTAGCCGTCAGTAGTGGCGCATGCCTGTAATCCCAGCTACTCAGGAGGCCGAGGCAGGAGACTCACTTGAACCAGGGAGGCGGAGGTTGCAGTGAGCCAAGATCACGACCTTGCACTCCAGCCTGGGCAACAAGAGTGAAACTCTGTCTCAAAACAACAACAACAACAAACACTGGTGGAGCAAAAGCAACCACATGGGCCTACTGTGTGCCAGGCACTGTTCTAAGCCCTGTGCCTGTCCCCACATTTGTTGAATTCCCAGAACAACCCATGTGACTAGTTCCACTATTGAACCATTTTATTGGTGGGAAAAAATGAGGCTCAGAGGAAGAGGCATAGGACTTTATGACTCCAACTAACACAGAAAGATCGAGCCAGTCCCAGGGCCAGGAGCAACCAGCCTGAGCAGCTGCAGCCTCTGGATCGTGGGTTTTGGTTCCAAGCCTGACCTGTAAACAGCTGTGTGGCGGTCAGCAATTGTTCACCACTCAACCCAAGCTTCCATGGGCGCATAGCCTGTGCTTTAGGAAACCTGACAGACCACTAGAGGGTTCCAGATGTAAAAGTGATTTTAAATGTTTGATTATGTTTTTCAGTTGAAAGATTAGAAGAGTTTATTAAACTCTGTGAGCAGTCCCGGAACACTGGAAAGGATCTAAGTGTTGATGTATTTATAAGTTCAGTGTGTGAGATTTACAAGAGCTGTCTGAGAATTTGTGTGGGTCTTGCTGGGTTGTGAACTTGCCCAGGTAGGCAGCTGAAGGGCTGTAAAGAAAAAAGAATGTATGGAATGCATAATTTAAAAAGAATGTATGGAATGCATAATTTAAAAAGAATGTATGGAATGCATAAATTTAAATAAAACTGTTTAAGGGCGCATAGTCTGTTCAATTTCAGTGACAGAGTGACGGTGACTATACTAAATGTAGGAGAAAAGAAAGAAATTAATGAGCAGAATTTGAAGGCTCGAGGGCTTGAAAACTTAATAAATTGAACATCAATTTAAGAAACAATCGTTGTAAGAGTCCCCTCTTTACACAAAAGCAGACCTCCACAAAGGCACACTGACCATTTCTAATCTTAGAAATGGAGATTGGAGTCCCCATTTCAAACTCGAGTGTACCACGGTACTGAGCAGCGAGGACAGCTCCCGAGTCCACAGGGCTCAAGAGCTCAAGCTGATTCCAACCCAGATCAAGCTGACTGCAGGCTGGCCCAGTATGTCCCCTCTCTCCAGCTCGACGTGTGCTAACCCATTCCTATCCCCAGAAGACCCTCAGCCCACCCCTGGCTCCAGTCCCAGGAACCCAGACCACTCACAGGACACAGTCAGAGAGATGACTTCACTCCTCTGGAAGATGTCTGGGAAACTCTCTATTGCACACTGAAGAGTTCTCTCAGAACGCCTAATCCTGAGGATGACGAGGCTCTTGCCGTCTGGGGAAATTCTCATCCGGTCACTGCCAGATATGGGTCCATAATTCACATACCACGTGATGTTGGTGGCATTGGTGTGGCAATTGGCAGCCACGGAATCCATGTTCTCTACCAGGGAGGTGGCATTGACTGAGAGGCTCGGATCGCTTCCCAACTCTGGGAGAAGCAGGAAGGAGAAGACAGTTAGAAGTGGGATCTGCTTCCCCAAGCTCTACTCCTCTCCAGGGGACTTCTGGGCATGATGAGAGAAGCTAAGAGCTGTTAGATAAGATCTGGAATCCTGGCAAGGGAGCTAAGAAGGGCAGAGAAGTAGGCACAGGGCAATGAGGCTGCTGAGGTGTGGGCCTTTGCCGTGGTGTTTGCTGCCGTCATGGTGAGCTCTTGGCATGCACATGTGGACTAATCATTGTTTCTGAACCCCCAAACCAGGACCCTCATCCAGGAGCCATGAGAGGCTCTGAGTGAGAGGTAGCATTTGGCTACACAATACTGCTCCATTATTGGAGTCCCATTCACTTCATGAATACTCCCTCCAGCACTGCAACAGACCACAATGGTAGGTTCCTCCCCACTCTACAGATGAGGAAACTGAGGAACACAGTGGGCACACAAATGAGGTTTGTAATTGCAGCCACTGTCAAATACAGGACTGCTTGTCTCCCAACTCTATCCTCACGTCCCCTCCCCCTCAGAGCCCCCAGGAGCTGTCCGTGGTACACAGGATTCCAGGGCCACTCCCTGATTTCCATTCCTGGTGTCATGCCCTGTGTCCTCTCCTTCTCTCAAGTGTGAGGGGGACCCAGGAGCTGCTTCTAACCTGTGGAATATGACAAAGGCCAATGAATATCACTGCCATCATTACCTGATGGCATGTAAGCCTCTGTCCTAGCAGACACTCCAGCTGGCCTTGAAGACACAAACAGCCATGGTATGAGAAGCCAGTGGGCACAGCCACATGGCAGGGATTTCAACAGCCTCTAGGACCCAAAGGGTCTCTGTCTAACAACCAGTAAGCAGCCCGCTGGGCCCTGAGTCCCACAGCCACAAGGAAATAAATTGAGCCAGCATCCTGAGTGAGCCTGGAGGCAGACTTCCCTAGTTAAGGCACCAGATGAGACCACAGCCCTGGCCAAAGCTTTGTGAGACTCAGAGCAGAAGCCTCAGCTCAGCTACACCTGGTCTTTTGATTCAGCCATATACCTGGGCTGTGGGCCCCCTGGAAATGATGCAATAATGAAAGGGTACTGTTTTAAGCTGTTACGTGTGTGGCTCTTTGTTATGGAGCAGTAGGAAGCTGATAAATACACTGACAATCAATTCAAATACTTTGAAGGTAGTGAATGTCCCCCCACCTGCCGAGGTTCCGATTGTCATGCAGAGGTGGGTGAGGGAGGGGAACAGGGTGATCTCTGAGCATTCACACTCCCAGGGCTGCCATGTCTAGCTCTCCTTGGGAGTCAGGAAGTGGGGCACCTGCTCACCCACCTACAACCTCCAGCCAGCCGGTTGCTCTGTGGGTCTCATTGCTGGCAACCACCCGAACGGTGTAGTTTCCTGTGTCATTTAAAGCAGTCGGCCTGATCACCAGGTCGCCTTCTCTGTTCACCCTCTCCCTGCCAGTGTACATGGGCCCAGGCTGCCTGGTACTGGGCAGTTTGTAGCTCATAATCATGTTTCCCGCGCTGTCATTTGCACCCCGGTACCAGCTGTATTCCTGGACATCCTCGGGGACGTTGTCCACGGCAAGGATAGTCAAATATCCCTTTATCCCCAGTATTTGGGTGATGAAGATTTGGCCAGAGGCATGGCAGATCCCGCAGGCCAGCAGACTGGCTGAGGAAGACAAGGAGAAAAGACACAGAGAGATCGACACCGTCCAGGAAACGATTTCCAGAAACACTAGTGAACCAGGCAAGAGTTTCTGGTTCCTGGTAGAGTCCCCAGCCTGTCCCCTCCTGTGCCTCCCGTCAGCCCCTGCCCTGGTCCGTTTTATCCTTATCTTCTCCCAAGCCCTCCTCCCTGGCCATGCAGTCTCCAATGCATTCTCATGTGACAGTTATTTAAATCTTAATGAGCCCAAGTTGTGACTCTGCTTTCGTCTGCTCAAGCACCTTCTATGGCTCCCCAGTGCTCTTAGGATAAAGTCCAAACTCTTAGGCAGGCATATGAGACACTCAGCCGGAGTTGGTATTTGTGACTCATCTAGCCTCCTTGTGGAGCTCACCTACCCCATCCTGTTCAGTTACTCACTCATTTATCTGTGTAGTTATGTATCAGAAGATATGACTGCCACGCTGAATGCCCCGGGCCTAAGCATAGCTCTCTTGGTTCACCACACCTCCTCCTAACTCCAGGCTTCGCACACGCTGTTCCCCATTCCTGGCACACTGACTCCTGCTCTCTCCTCTCCATCTGCATCCTCCTTGCTGACTCACTTCTACTCATCACTCAGGTCTCAGCTTGGATGTCTCCTCCACCCCAGCCTGCGTCAGTTGTCCCCTCTGAGCTCCCCCTAGCTCCTCCTGGGCTCCCCCGATCCCAGCCTTGACTTCTGGGGGTCCTCAGAGTCTGGTCACATATCTAGCTCTTGCCCTGGACTATGGGCTCCAGGAGGGCAGGGCTGCCCTGTCTCAGTCACCACTGAGTCCCCGGCACTCCTAAGCACAGGCTGGACACTGGGGGAGCTCAGTGATGATTGGGTGAGAAACTCCCCTGAGACTGTCCACATGTCTTTGACTTTGCATCTAAATTCACTGGAGTGGGTGTGAATGGAGGTGAGAGCCTGTCACCACATATGACATGGCAGGTGTCCACTGCCCTCTGAACCCCAAGTCTGAGCCGTGTGGAGGAGGCAGAGATGCCTGAGCCTCTGGTTCCAGGCCTCATGTGCGGACACTGGACCTGTTCAAGGACAGTACATGTGGTAAAGCAGGACAGTCGTGCTCTATGTGGGCACAGAGTGTCCTGGGGAAAGGTGAGGGGCTGGGAAGGGATCTGGCCTGCAAGGTGGGGAAGGGGATGGGGCAGATTGGGGCACCCAGTGGGAGGTGAGTGCAGGGAGGTGAGGGTGAAGGTTCCTGGGCATGGATAGAAATGCAGGGGTGTGTGTGTGTGTGTGTGTGTGTGTGTGTAACACCACATCTGTGGGTCTGTACAGGGCTGTGTCTAGGGGCAAGCTGTGCCCAGGTGTGTGAACTCATGAAAGTCCTGCTGAGGCTCCTGCCCCCTCCCCTCTCCCCCATCCCTGCTCTGGGAGTTTCTGGCTGTGCCCCTGGATGGGGATGGTCCCAGCCCACTCCTCCCCACTTTGCTCCTAGCTGCCCTTCCCTCAGTCCCAGGAAGCTCATCCAGCATCCAGCGTCTCTCACCCACGAGGAAGAACTCCCTCCACAGGCTCCCTCTGGGTCTGGAAAGGTCCATGAGTTGCCTGGGGTCCTCCAGGACGAGGGGTCCCTCCAGAGACGCAGCCGCCGCCTCTGCTCCCTCACAGACCTGTGTTTCCTGGCACAGAGGCTGCCAATCTCATCTCCCGGCCCTCGGCCCTCGGATCCGCCTTTCCTCCCCAGGGTGGACTCTGACCAGCAGGGGTGGGGCCTGGGGAGGACTTTATCTTTATGGCCTATGGTGCCTTGAGTTCATTATTTATTTACTTATTTTTATATTTATTTACATTTTTTTCTCTGGCCATGAAAAAAACAAATAAACAACAACAAAAAACAGGCTCACTGATGGGAACAGCAGAAAATATAGCTAAGCACCTCAAAGACAGGACATCAGACTCCTCATGTACGTCTCGTTTCTATTTGGCTTGGTTTTCCTATGCAGGGCCCAGTTCTTAAATTGCTTGGGGCTGTTTTACGGCCAGCCGCTTTTCTCCTCATCAGAGGGCTATTTATCTGTGTCACTAAATATTCCTCCTATGGCCATTGTCAATGGCTGTGGTGCATGCTCTTCTATATCTGAACCAGTGTGCGTATAACCAGGTCCCTTCGTGAAAGTTCTCACAATCCATAAAAGCCCTGAGATATATTGGGGAAGGCTATGAAGTGAGGGTTCTCTGATAACAAAAACTTTCACAGAAGACTCTGCAAAAACCCTCGCCTTGTACAAAAGCCAACCACAACCACAAAAAAATACTTCTGTGACAAGTTTTGGACGGCAAACTCCTGTCCAAACTTGGACTGACGTCACCCTTATTAAGGATCCTTGTAGCCTAGGACAATTATCTCAAAATGTTTATGAGATCCTCCTCACTTTTCTTTTTAAAAACCTTTGTGTTCTTCAGCTGCGCATGGTGGCTGACGCTTGTAATCCCAGCGCTTTGGGAGGCTGAGGAGGATGGATCATGAGGTCAGGAGTTTGAGACCAGCCTGGCCAACATAGTGAAACCCCATCTCTACTAAAAATACAAAAGAAAGAAGAAGAAAAAAATAGCCAGGCGTGGTGGCAGGCACCTGTAATCCCAGCTACTTGGGAGGCTGAGGCAAGGGGAATCGTTTGAACCTGGGAGGTGGAGGTTGCAGTGAGCTGAGATTGCACCACTGCACTCCAGGCCAGGCAACAGTGTGAGACTTTGTCTCAAAAACAAACAAACAAAAAACAACAACAAAAAACCTTTGTCTTCTTTTACCTCCCTGAATATGCACATCGTTTACTGTGGCACCCAGCTTTTCATTGCAGTGCCGCATTCCGGAATACATACCATTTTCTGTTAGAGAGCTTCTCTCTGTTTGTTATTTAGGTTGGCACTTTGTTGTCGGAGCTTCAGGCTATTTCTGAAATTCACCATTAGGAAAAATGCTGTGAATTAGGAGCGAAGGGCATGTGTGTGTTCCTTGTAGACGTGGCTCCAGGACAGGGGAGTTGTGCATTACTTCTATGCACAGAAGTAATGAGGTGCAGGTGCCTTGACACCTGAGAGAGAGAGAGACAGACAGACAGAGCCATAGAAAGGAAAGATGCAGGCAGCCAGGTGCGGTGGCTCATGTCTGTAATCCCAGCACTTTGGGAGGCGGAGGCAGGCGGATCACGAGGTCAGGAGTTCAAAACTAGCCTGACAAACATGGAAAAACCCTGTCTCTACTAAAAATACAAAATTAGCCAGGCGTGGTGGCGCATGCCTGTAACCCCAGCTACTTGGGAGGCTGAGGCAGGAGAATCGCTTGAACCCAGGAGGCAGAGGTTGTAGTGAGCTGAGATCACGCCATTACACTCCAGCATGGGCAACAAGAGTGAAACTCCATCTCCAAAAAAATAAAAAAGATGCAGGCACAGCGAGATACAGAGAGAAGACACACAGAGAGAGAGAGAGAACAACTCAGAAATGTCTAATTGACAAGGTCTTCCTAACCATACTTGGGAATGTGTTTGTCTTTTGTTTTGATAACACACCCTACTTTTTAAATTACAAAAAGAGTGAATTTGAATTTGTTGTAGAAATTTTTGACTTACATATTTACATATTAATTTAATATTATTTAACATTTACACATTTATACACACATTTCATATGTATAACTATATAAGTATGTAAAATAAATATAAAATTATTTATTATAATTTAATGACTACCATTTTTTAAAACCACCCAGAGACACAACCAGATGTTTTCTATGTGTCTTTTCAGTTTGGGTATGTCAGAGCTGGCATACGCATGCACATGTGAATCACTTTTATTGTAGCAGAATTATATCATTAAATTTTTTTTTTTTTTTTTTTTTGAGACGGAGTTTCGCTCTTGTTACCCAGGCTGGAGTGCAATGGTGTGATCTCGGCTCACCGCAACCTCCGCCTCCCGGGTTCAGGCACTTCTCCTGCCTCAGCCTCCTGAGTCGCTGGGATTACAGGCACGCGCCACCATGCCCAGCTAATTTTTTGTATTTTTAGTAGAGACGGGGTTTCACTATGTTGACCAGGATGGTCTCGATCTCTTGACCTCGTGATCCACCCGCCTCGGCCTCCCAAAGTGCTGGGATTACAGGCTTGAGCCACCGCGCCCGGCCAATTTTTGTTTTTCTTAGGGCTTTTCAAATGTTAAACCCAAGCTCAGTCAGAGTAAGGTGAATATGCACCTCTGGGTGTCTACTGGTTTATAAAATATCTCTGAAGTTTTCTTCTGTACCCTGAAAACCCATATGAATATTTGCAGCCTACAGCAAAGCATACATGTTGGTTTTAATAGGAAAATAATGCACTCGTTACCAGTGATGTTAGTTAATTGGCCTGCCTCAGTATTCAAGTATAAACGGGGCCTCTGAAATATATACAAAGTGAGTCTCTGGCTTTAGCTCCTCTGAAACATTCCCCACATTCTGCCTCAGGTCCTGGACTCCCGTGGGACAAGCACAGCTTTGCACCATCACCGTTAATTATTCATGGCTGCATAGTATGCCACTGGATTGGATATGGGTTGAGTTATTCAACCAATCCACTATTTGCAATCATTTATGTTCTTTCAGTTTTTTTTGAGACAGAGTCTCACTCTGTCCTCCAGGCTGGAGGGCAGTGGTGTGATCTAGGCTCACTGTAACCTCCGCCCCCTGAGTTCAAGTGAGTCTCATGCCTCAGCCTCCAGAGTAGCAGGGATTACAAGTGTGTGCCACCACATTGGGCTAATTTTCTTATTTTTATTTTTAGTAGAGACGGGATTTTGCCATGTTGACCAGGGTGGTCTTCAACTCCTGGGCTCAAGCTATCTATTTCCTTCAGCATCCCAGAGTGTTGGGATTACAGGCATGAGCCACTGGGCCAGGCCAGGTTCTTTCAATTAAAAACACAATTATTAGCCGAGTGCGGTGGTTCAAGCCTGTAATCCCAGCACTTTGGGAGGCCGAGGCAGGTGGATCATGAGGTCAAGAGATTGAGACCATCCTGGCCAACATAGTGAAACCCTATCTCTACTAAAAATACAAAAATCAGCTGGGCGTAGTGGTGTGTGCCTGTAGTCCCAGCTACTTGGGAGGCTGAAGCAGGAGAATCTCTTGAACCTGGGAGGTGGAGGTTGCAGTGAGCTGAGATCACGCCACTGTACTCCAGCCTGGTGACAGAGTGAGTCTCTGTCTAAAAAAAAAAAACAAAACAAAACAATATTTTAGAGCAGTTTTAGGCTCACACCAAAATTGAGCAGAAGGTACAGAGGTTTTCCATAAATCACCTGCCCTCCCGCGTGCACAGCACCTCCATTATCAACATCCCCACTACCAGAGTGGTACATTCATTGCATTTGATGAGCCCACATTGATACGATATTAGCACCCAAAGCCCAGAGTTTATGTGAGTGTTCACTTTTTAAAAACACAACAGCATGAACAGCTTTTGCCTAGTCCCATTTGTAGAACCGTAATGAATCCTAGAGGTGAACCTGCATAGAAAGGAACTGAACCCTACTCACATAGAGGTCTGGCCTTCACTCTCATCTACTGGGAGGGAACTCTAAGCCCCTGAATGTCTCACCTGATAGGAGTGTCTTTATTTACCTGAGAACCTTGGACCTCATCAAATAGTCTAATAATACGGCTAATGGTAGGGGGTTGGGTCATTGTTATCAGCTCTATCTCTAGAGCAGCTGAAGCTAACGTCAGCCATATGAACAGTCATCCCTGTCTACATGGCAAAGTCACAATAAAAACCCTGGACATAAAGGCTTAAGTGAGTGTCCCTGGCTGGCGATGCTGTATGCATCTTGTCACATGTCATGTCAGGAGGAGTTACTGCTGTCTGTGATTCTACTGGGAAGGGATAATTGGAAACTCCCCATTTGGAATTCCCTGGACCCTGCCCCACGCTCTTCTCTTGGCTGACTTTAATCGGCTTCCTTTTGCTCTAATGAGACATAACATGAGGATAACAGCTTTCAGTGAGCTCTGTGAGTCCTACTAGTGAACTGTCAAAACTGAAGGTGGTCGGGGACCCCTGAACGTGCAACTGAAGTTAGAAATGAGGGTGATCTTGTGCACAGCTCCCTAGTTACTGAGGACTGCTGGGTCAAAGGCTGTGCAGGCTGTTTGCAGAGAGAGTACGGTTAAGAGGGGAGATTCCTGGTCACACTGCCTGGTTTGAATCTAATGTTGCCACTTACCTGCCATGTAATCTCAGCTAAGTTGCCTCCCTCCCCTAAGCTTCACTTTCTACACCTGAAAAATGGGGATATTACCTTAGACAATACACACAGAAACAGAAAACCAGTACCACATGTTCTCACTTATAAGTGGCAGTTAAATGATGAGAACAGATGGACACATACAGGGGAACATCAGACACTGGGGCCTACTTGAGAGTGGAGAGTGAGAGGAGGGAGAGGAGCGGAAAAGATAACTATTGGGTACTAGGCTTGGTATACGGGTGATAACTATTGGGTACTAGGCTTGGTACCTGGGTGATAACTATTGGGTACTAGGCTTGGTACCTGGGTGATAACTATTGGGTACGAGGCTTGGTACCTGGGTGATAACTATTGGGTACTAGGCTTAGTACCTGGGTGATAACTATTGGGTACTAGGCTTGGTACCTGGGTGATGAACAAATCTGTACAACAAACCCCCATAACATGAGTTTACCTATATAACAAATGAA